AACACTAAAGTGATGAGCAGTAAAAGCATTTTAATCGTCGCGTATGGGCGTTTTTTGCGCACGCAGTTTTAAGGCTTGACATGTTTGGTGTCTATTTACCCGACGTGACCCCGACTTTTATGTTTTACTAAAAATATGGGTAAGAATAAATGTTTTATAACATAACGTAGGGAAACTTTTTTTTAAAATATATTTATGGTACTTTTTTCATTATATAGTAAAAAAAAATAACCCCCCCGTGGGGGGTCACAAAAGAAACCTCTATCTGTCCCCAAAATTTGTTAACATATATTGCAAGGCTATAGTCAGGTCATGCTGACTGGTGAAATTTTTGACTGACTGGTGAGACACCGCCAAATTTTTCAAGCCCTGCACATTAGACATGATCATAATAGTATTCAATTTAACTGTATACATGAATACTAGACCCCCCCAACATAACTGAGTACTGGACATGCTCATGATAAAATTCTATACACTATACATGGAACATTTCACCACCAACATGACCGGCCACTAAAACTGATCATAGTCGAGTTCTTCTACCCCCAGCATAACTAGCCACTGGGCATGATCACAATACAATTCTATTACACTGTATACATTGAACACCACACCCCCAGCATAACCAGCCACTGGGCATGATCCTAATACAAGTCTATTACACTGTATACATAGAACACCACACCCCCAGCATAACCAGCCACTGGGCATGATCACAATACAAGTCTATTACACTGTATACATAGAACACCACACCCCCAGCATAACCAGCCACTGGGCATGATCACAATACAATTCTATTACACTATACTGTATACATAGAACACCACACCCCCAGCATAACCAGCCACTGGGCATGATCCTAATACAACTCAATTACCGATCCCCGTGGGTGACAAATGACTGAGAGATTACTGTACAGTAAATTCCATCGTAAAAGATCATAACTTAATCGATCGCAACCGGAGGAGCGTCTGTACATAGAACACTACTTCTGTAATCTGACCAACCACTTGACAGGATCATGATACACTTCTAGTACACATTATATAGTACACTATACCGGAACATGACTACATTGGTCGCCCATCTGGGGAGGATGAGTTTGGGAACAAAGTAAATAGAACATTATTATCTCCTTTGAGTTTGGTGTTACAGGACTTGTACTGCCTTTTGTTAAATTCAGCTCACTGTCGAATATTTAGGACTGGTCTTTTAAGTTGCAAAGCAGTACTGCTAGAGGATGTTAGGCCAGGTGAGGGCAGCTCTTGCCTTTTTCTCCTTTCTGCATGAATGACCTTGAAATCCAATTAAAGCAACAGAGAAATGGCTGCTTTTCTGACAAAAGATCTCTGTTCCTCACCTGTATAGTTATCATTTGTACTGTGACAGACTGTAATAGAAATAAAATGGCACTTCAATCCATTAAGAGGCAGATAATGGTTCTCTTATAACAGACCTTGCAAGATTCATTGGTGATACTGCGGTTCTATCACCTACTCAATTAAAACTGCCAGAATGGTGAAAGGGTAAAAGGTGTTTGGTCAGGAAAGGATTTGTCACTGTACATAGTTATCATGTCACAACACAATTACAGCAGAAATAATGACAGAGCAGACGTTTAGCAATATCCTGAGCTCTCTAGATTGGTCTACATCTATGCATTCCCAGAACAATGCTATCATTTCTGCTGGCCATGAAAAACTTTATTTTAAGAACAGGCATCAACTTATGCCTGGAAAGGGAAAACTGACAAAGTGTTCCAAATTTAACAAAGAAATGTAACCAGAAAATCCTCAATAAATGTATATACCATAAGGCTGGGCACACACCTTACAACCATCGCAAGACTTCTGTCTTGCGATGGTTGTAAGGTCATTAAAAACACGTACGATCTGTCTATCTTGGACAGGCAGATCGTACTTGCGATGATCACAAGCCGCGCCCCCGTGAGGGGCGGGCTTCCGATGACCGCAATGCCGAACGGGCAGTGTGCGCTTGCGCACACCGGCCCGTCCGGCTTTTATCTTACGAACATGCTACACACCCGCCGAACATCGTACGATGTTGCTGCTGAATCCATACATAAGGTTTAAAGTGACACTAAACTCAGGAGTTAAATCTTAACAATGCATTCAAGTACCCTAACTATTAACAAAAATGTATCTTATTTGTGTATCACTCAGCTGTAGATCCTCAAATCATCTCCGAATTGGTGCTGACACTGTCCTTCCTTCTGGAGGTTACTTTTGTTCCCCGTGGTCCCTGTGTGTGTTGTAAAGTAGCCATTGCTCCAAGCTCACTCCTAAACTATAGACTATAACTTCAATACAAATTAGTAAACTAAACATGAGATTGTAGTCCATCACAGTAGTTGGCTTGGAACAGCCACCCTCCAGAAGGAAGGACAGTGTCGGCACCAATTTAGAGATGATTTGACGATCTACAGCCGAATGATACATAAATCAGCTATATTTCTGTTAATAGTTAGGGTACTGGAATGCATTTTTAAGATTTAACTCCAAAGTTTAGTGTCACTTTAAACCTTATGTATGGATTCAGCAGCAAACCTTTGCATTCCTTAAGGTGCCCACACACCTTGCGATAATCGTACGATAATCGCGGGAAATTTACTGTCACTTTAAGCCTTCAGCATCTCCTTTTACTAATCATCATTGCTGCTGCTTTACTAATCAAGCTGTTTTACTAATCATCATTTCTAAGTGGCATGGGTCATCTTCGGCTTAAAGGAGAACTATGGGGTTAAGGCTTTTCCCCATAGTTCTCCTTAGGGTAACGGGAGGACACAAACTAGCGTCCTCCCGTCACCCTAGGCTCAGTATACCGCGAGCTGTATACTGAGACGCCGCAGCTGAAACGGATCCCGACAATTATGCCTGGATCCGCCCAGCTGCATGAGTGACAGCTGGCTCTGCCTATCCAGAGGCAGAGCCAGCTGTACCCACCCCCTCCCCCGTCCGTTCCGTCAGCGCTGGAGGATCGGAGCGGGGAATCCAGCCCCTCCCCTGTCACGGCTCTCTGCCGTGACAGGATCGAGAAGTGAGCAAACGCCGGTATGTGTTCGCTCACTTCCCGATCTACTGAGCCGACCTGTGATAGTTTCATTGTCACAGGTCGGCTGGAACTATGAGGATGAGTGAAAAGCACTCACCTCATAGTTCTCCTTTAAGGGCTAGTTCACACCAGCCCCAGTGCGTTCCAGCCCAATTTGGTGCCGGAATGCACTGGATGGCATCCTGGCCAGCTCACTTTGTTTTGGGGCAGGAGGGTGTGTGGCGGTGCATTGATGTAAATGGCACTGCAGCCACGCCCCCGGGGGCCGCAGTGCGATCGCCTGCACCGGAATGTGTGGTACATCAATCCCTGCGTTCATCCCAAGTGTTCCAGTGTGGGCGATCACACTGCGGCTGGAGGGCGTGTCTGCGGTGCCATTTACTTCAATGCACCGCCCCAAAACAAAGTGAGCCAGCCAGGATGCGATCTAGTGCGTTCTGGCAGGTAGTAACAGGTAGTATTGTAGATTGCTCAAAATCTTCTCGTCTCTACTAGTGATGTCACTTTATGAGTAGAGCTAGAGAATGCTAGCTAAAATGAAAAAGATGTGAAGATAGGTCACCAGCACTCCGAAATGCATAAGAACATATTGTTTATTGCAAATAACGTCACATAGGTCAAACTAGCCAACATTTCAGGGCTGCGCAGTGTCCCGACCTGTGTCGCCTTGAGGAAAGGACACTGTGCGGCCCCGAAACGTTGGGTATTTTGTCCTATTTTATGTTATTTGCAAAAAACAATATTTTTCCTGCATTTTGGAGTGCTGGTGACCTATGTTCATATCTCTTAGGTTCTGCACGGCGCCATCTGTGACGGTCACTACGAGCACCTATCTCATCTAGACTGGTCACAACACTGAATGGTGTGCAGCAGGCACTTTTAACAAGCCAAAAATGACAAGACTGTTCCAAAGTGGTGCTAATTTGTTACCCATCCCGTTTTCACGCAACTGCAGGGTCAGGTCTACTGCTAAGCATTTCGCCCCTCAACAATTCTTTAACATCCCCTGACACGCATGCATTTTCCCTCTCCTGATGAGAGCTGCAACTCCCTAATAATAGTTACCCTACTCCCATTTCCCAAGGATGCAGTGCAAGCAGTAACTCTGTGTTCATCCCATTTTCAAAACACATTTATTCACATGTTTTCTCCAGAAATCACATAGCATTTAGCCAACAATATATATTATCTATATTGTATGTATTATATGCAGCTATTATACAATTTGAAGTTCTCTGGCAGACCCTTCACTTTGGGGTGCACATAATGAGCCTTTTCGCGGTTTCTTTATTATGCAAAGTATATAAAGAGGTATGACTACCAAGTATCTACTTAGAGGCTGACAAAAGCAACATCAGAGGGCACTTAGAGCCACAGCCACTAGATGGAGAACACTAAGAGAATGATCACTGGTTTTAGAAGCTTCTGCAGGTCACGCATGTGAAGCTCAATTGGGCTAGTTGTGGAAATACTTGCAAACCTTCCCTGGTCACCCATTACATCTCATAGAAACATTTGTAAAAAGACTCTGACATTTATCTGGATGGTACCCCCAGTCCATAGTGTTCAAACCAATGGAAAGCCATGTCTGATGACTCCCAGGAAATAGGATAAGGTTCATATAACCCAAGCCTCTGAGCTCATCCAGTTGCTGATGAGTTACAACTCCCAATAACCACTAGGAACTTGGCTCTCCAGCTGCTAAGGAACTACAACTCCAATCATGTCTTATTAGGCAGGCCCAGAGTTGCTGAGGAACTACGGTATATTTTCCAGAAGGCTTCAACTTTTAGGTATTAGTCAGACACAAAGTGCCCAAACCGACCAAAAACAGGCAATGACCAGAAACAACAACCTTTCTAAAACATGTAATATGCCTCCAATAAAACTGCTATAATTAACATAAATATGGAACCACCTACCTGTTTGTGCACCGTTCTCTGCTTCATCTCTGGACTATCCCCTTTAGATGAAGAGGATTGCTGTCTCATTCGAGCTCCACTGCCGGGCCAGTCTGGTGACGAGGACATCATACTCCCACTTGATGGCCTTGGGTAGGGTGCTGTATTAAGTAATGTTGGTGGCGTCCTTCCTCTGGTCATTGGCGGTGGTGGAGGAGGTGGTGGCTGGTCAATTCTCCTTTGAGGACCCGAGCTGTTCTGCCGTGGCATGGTGGGCTGCCCAGGCTTATCAGTCAAAGATAACTGCCTACGTGACATGTCCCCAGAACGTCTACTGAATTCCTCACTACTTCCAGGGTTAAGAAATCCATGTTTACTCCCTGCCAAGTCCTCGCTGTTACTGTGGGAGCTAAGTGAACTATGACATTCAGAACCAGAGTCTCCCAAACCCCGTGGTGAAACAGGCAAACCTGCTGCCATTTGGTACACAGGGTTCTGGAATGATAGAGGTGCCAGGAGCTGTGGCCTACCCAGCGTGGCATCCGAATTAGGAGTGGTTGGTGTTTGCCCTGTTCTTCGGGCTGTTGTCAGGGTCATTATATTTCCCTGTGGCGTCCGTGCGGTCCATATCGCCTGTAGCTGACTAAAAGATGTCTGACTGTCATTCAGAGAGTCTCCAATCCCTGATGTGTTGGTACCAACGTCCAGTACCCGATTGTCCTGCAGGTCCACCATAGATAGGCTCTTGTTGCCGTTCGTGATCTGAACATCAGGTTCATTGGCCTCCGAGTAGCTGGAGCTACGTGCCGGTGAGGGCTGGACTCCAGCAGACCTTGTGACAAAAAATAAGTCCTTGTTTTCAGGTGTTGGAGAGGGTAACCGGGTGAAATCTATCAGACTATGGGGAGATAGATAAACAGAGGGAGACAAGATGTCAATGTCACCCTGGACCAGATGATTCTATCATGCAAACAACAAGGTTCTGCCATAATGGGCCAAACCAAGAAAATTTATTTTTCTTATTTTCATGTTTCCCTGCAGTGTGAGAGAACTAAAGGGAGAATCTGACTGGCTGCTGTGGCCAACAAGAATTGTTCTTCCTTCAGACATGTTTATGTATAAGAATGGCGATAGACAGACAGACAGAAGGAAAACTCTTGATGTCGAGCATCACCTTAGATTAGAATAAAGGACTGTGTCAGTCACTGACATTCCTAAATTCGCAAAATATATTTTAAAGTTATCTCACTGCTGGGAGTGGCCTTTTAATCTGCTCTGGTCACTAAAAAGCAGTGCTGTAGCTGTCATCAACATTGGGCAGGTACTACAGAGTGAATACAACCTGATTAAAGATGGGCAGATACCTCCTGCCATCATACTCTGGGAGATATTTGCCAGTTTATGGCCACCCGATAGTAAATGTAACATCATTTTACTTTTTTCTGTCTCGCTACCATACCTGTACATTGGGTTTCACTTAAACCTGACTTGTTCGGGGTGAAAGTCTAGGTAGGTCTAATAATTTCCACCACCAAAGGGCTCCACAGCAACCAATCAGATTCACACATACACTGGCACATAGTATTTGGGAGACCGTCTGTCTTACCTGCCTGCACAATTGCAGTTATTATTTTTCTTCAGCCACATTAAGAAACAGAGATAGGGGACTATGGGTAACACTGATAGTTCATCTTTCAGGTGGTTGGATGTTTATAATAATCTGCTTTTAAAGAGCTGTAAAATGTAAACAGAGATATAGAAAGTTTATAGAACGCCCTGGGCAGATGAAAGGAGTCTCTGCAAGCAGGCGTGTCAAAGCCTGGCATTCCCAATCTGCCAGATTCAAGCAGCGTGTAAACTTAAATAGATTTTTAGAGTTTCACCACATGCTGAGCGGAATTAGGGATAAAAGTGGTAATTACAGAGACAGGCCTTCCGCCTCTGTCTTCCCTGCTTTCTATTAATTAAATTGTTAAATACAATGTAGCTGGCGTTTAACATTCAGCCGCTATCGTCCTTTTGATCAGTATAATTACATTTTATTAGGAAAGGAGGCGACTTCACGGTGGAGGTGTATTGCCTGTGTCAACTCTGTCTGAATTCGAGTTTTACCTACCACGGTCTAGGCTCAGGTTTTTAAAGTGGTTACAGAGCACCAACCCATCAGAGGCCATCTCTAAATGTCCTAACTGCTGTGCAGAGATCAATATAGAAAATGGGATTGGCTGATCAGTGCCCACACTCAATTCTTGCTTTATCAGTCCTTACAAAATTATCTGCCAGAGTACAGAGAGAAAATTCGATATTTCCCATTGAACTATGTTATTGTATGTAAAATGTACATGATCTGTGAATGTTTCATTTATTCAGGTCATGGTACAGCTATTAGTACTTAGTCAACTACCATTAGCTAAAATGTACATTATTGATTTAACGGAATGTAAACTTTTTTTGTTAAAAAGTTTGGAAAAAGATGAGATCATTTTTGTCACACATGATGTGGGAGGGTGGACCACTCCAAAAAAACTCTTCCTTTTGAATATCCTATTATACAGAGCAGAGAGATGTTTGCAACTAAAACTGGAATGTATCAGTTTTGGGTGGAGGGTCTATAAACCGCTGTTATGTAATGCGAAGAACAGGATAATTACATTTTTGGGGACTTCGGGAGGCCCCCATAACCTGCTTAATCAGGAAATTAACCTCTCTCTTCTTACCCAGTTAAGTCATTCTCTATTACCATCTTTTGGAGGCCGACAGATATATTGTTGCTGGCATTTGGGGTGGAGGCAGAGTGATCACTTGTGACAGAGCTCTGTATACTGGATGGGTTGCTGAGTGCTGTGTTCACATCACGCAGGATACGAGGAAGAGGACCCAGCTTGGTTACTGTAGCCTGCCAGGGAACAAGAGGAATGTACTCAAGAGAGATTTATACAGAGATGATTATAATAACAGTACTACTATATCATGGAAAAACACATCACAGGTAAAAAAATTTTTTATGGTGGAGATGTGTGGAAAATTATTCTCCACTAGCGATATGTTTGTAAAATATACAAAAGGCATTTTCTTTCTGGTGTCTGTGTCCTGCTTAGTGGAACCCACAGTTTTATGGGTTTTTTTTGTTTTTACTAAAAACTGCCGGTCTGCAGCAATTGGAAACATGTACAAATGTGTAGAAAAAAATGGATCACTGTATTTCTCTCAGGGCCCATTCACACCAACAGGCACGCAAGACGGTCTGTATAATGTGCGCCCACTGGTGTGCATTGTGATGATGTGGTGTTACAATGCAAAAGTGTTTACTTTTTTTTTTTTACTTTCTTGAAATGACACAAAATTCTATTTCCTTTAACTCTACGCACTGCAGCGACATGAGCTTCACAGCATAAAAATGCAACCTGTTCTCATTTTTCAGCACATAGTAAGGCAGTGTGTTGGTGTGAAGTGAAACAATAGGACATAGGACAAATTGCCTCGATTATGTGTTGGGCTGGTCCAACAGGACTGGTGTGAGGAGCCCTTACTCCAGTTACATTTTCATCCTTATTTAATAAAGGAGTAAAGTCATGCAGAAAGTAGGAGCAAATAATAAAAAATGTTTGAGTTTAAAGGGCCAGTCCACCCAAAATGTATATTTTACTACATGCTGGTGAATTTAGTCCATTGACTCTGACCCACACATCAGACAGGAGGGACACCAATAAAATCTATAGACTGCATGTAAATGGATTTTATAGTGAAAACTGTATGAGATAGTTGGTACAATCATTTGTTTTTATTTGCCACAATGCTGCTTGCTTCTAAATCTTCCTGCATCTTATCTACAAGACAGGGGACCGGGGTGGAAGCCATGTCTTCAGGTACCTGATCCACAGAAATGACCTCCCAGAGCAGCGAGTGCAGTGTGGACAGCTCCCTTCCCAGGTCAATGTAGCCCTCAAACCCAGCTGTGTTGGAAATGGTCTCTGGGTTGGAGATCTCCAAGAGGAATCGTTGCATGTTCGTCCATTCATGTTCCAGAAACTGATTCATAAAGGACATGTACTCCTCTTTACTACCAAACCTGCCAGCGAAGGAAAAACATTAGATCATCATATCGCCTCGGCTGGGATCCAACAGATCAGAATCAATCAGGCAATCATATGACCTTTGCTGTCCTCAGGATTGGGCTGCATTAACCTGTCAGCTGGTTTATATAACAGAACGATAAACAACATATAGAGGAGTTTCAGGAGTATATGGAAAGGATAAAAACCAATGTTAAGTTTTTACTGCAAAATGGCACTCTGTTAGAGAGATTTACCCTTGCCTCCTGTCCTGCTGAGGATGGTTTTATCTGTTAGGAAGTGTGGGAAAATCTCCAACAGGGACACAAGAAAGAAAAGCATTTTGTTTCTGTTGGAAATTATCCTCATTTCCTATTTGGTAATACTTTATCAGCAGGACAAGAAGCAAGGGTAAATCTCCAGGAGCCCGGATAGCAGTAAAAACGGGTTTTACTTCACCCAAAACTAAGCTTTGATTGGACATGCAGTACGCTTTAAGTTAAAAGGAAAGCAATAATTATATAAATGTGAAGACTGCCATATGTGACCTCCTTTGGAATATGATAATTTTCTGGCTGTGTCCTTGGAATTAATATTTGCTGAGCCATTGATTCAGAAAAATCCAGAACTTCTGACAGGAACAACTGTTCTGGGACTATAACTCAAAGTATTGAAGCAAGAGGCTTAGCCCGGCAACTAGTCAACTAGCATTTTTAGGATAGATCGGCAATGGGTGACAGCATTTTCATTTGTCTTTGCAAAAGTTTCAAAACAATGATGTAGCAAAATATTACAATAGATAAATATATCTATAGCACAGATATCACACCCGATACCCAAGCCTGTGCCTGAGGGCTGCATAGAGTCTTTTTATACTTATAGTGTGGCCCTCGACCTTCATCAGCCATTAGTGGAAGTGGGATCATTGGTTTAGTAAATAGATTGTAATGACGAAGATATTTAGCAGTCTCTTGTCTAACTTCCCAGTCTCCAACCACCCCCCTTGCATATCTGCAGTCACTGATTATTTCCTCTAGTATATCTGTAATCCCCGCAGTCTTCTGTAACATCATATATACTATTATCATTATGTGAGGCACCTTAGTGATATCAGAGGCCGCAAGTTGACCGTCACTGCTTTAGACACTAGCAAATTCCATGTGCAGGGTGTGCAATAACAACCCTTTCTGTACATAAACCACATATTGCTGCATTATTCTACTTTAGTCAAACTGAAGCTGTCCCCCGTATGCCACTACATATTGTATAATATCTCCAGCTAAAAGCAAGAAGAAGAAATACAATAAGGGTTATCTCCAATGAATCTTATGTTAACAGCTCCTAGCAAACAGGATTGCTAAGAGAACAGAGACCAAACTCATCTGCTTCTGTGGGATTGCTCCATCAGGCTAACAAAGCAAGTGAGGAATATTTTGCAGCATTTTAGCCATTGAGGGGGGGACACCATAATTTGGTGAGTACTTTCTTAGTAATTCTGCTGCCAGTGAAATGATCACGATTGTGACACTGCCCTTACTACAAGAGTCACATTTAGATCATGATAAATAGTTTTTTCATGTTTCCTATTAGATATTTTGCCATCTCCTCTAGACCCTGGGAATTTACCCCCTGCTGCCCTCCTCAAGCTACACCTTTCATTTTATATTAAGAAATATTTCCTCATTTCATGTTATATTGAGAATACGTTTCTCTATTGTCGATAAGAGGACATTATAATGGGCCACCATCTCGCTAATCTTAGTTTGTGTCATTAAGTGCACCCGGAAGGAGTGACCTCATCGTTTGCTGCCACCTGCACTTTAGTTTGTTTTTTTTCTCTCTGTAAACATCTGATAAAAAAATGCATTCTATCTCCGAGCACTTTCAATTAAGTCCTGCTCCAGTGCTCAACTCTTAGAACTGAAACAAAACCATTGACACAGCTGAGAATGGAAATTAAAAGTCAATACAAGTAAAGGCCATTGATTTTTCTAGCTAATTGGAGGCTTGTGATGAGTGAGCCATAACAGAGAGCAGGTCTGCCACTTTCCCGTCCCCCGGAGAGACACTTACTTGGCGAAGTTGGCAAGGTTCTGCGTGACTTTGGCAATCAAGGTCAGTGTGCGGGCAGTCCTGTCATCTGGGTATTCTTGTAGAAGGTTAAACAGTGATGGGGACATGATGGCGGGGCACAGGAAGCGCAAAAACAATGAGGCGCTAATAAGCCTCTCGCTGATATCGGGGCGACCTCGACTGTTACATTCTTGTCTCCACGATGCAAAGACCTCCTTCAGCTCCCGAGGAAAAACACTGCAGAGAGAATCATAGGAAATAAATTAAGATCAATCGACAGCAAAGAACCAATTATCTCCTTTACAACGCTCATTAAACGAGAGATGACACCTTAATGACACTTTAATTTGTACTTTATACAGCAATGACCTTGGGAATCAATACTTCCACTAGTACAGAAATGAAATCGCCAATAATTTGTGTATTCGCTGCAATGCAGATGTATCTCACACTGTACAACGATCATACTTGTCTGTCCATCCTTATGTTAATCTGACAAGGTGGTAACTTTCTAAAGTTGCCCCAAGGGCGGGAGCTTGTCTCACACTAACAGGGAAACATGTGGTTAGGCTGGACAGTTCCATCTTGTACAAGTTTCAATTGCAACAGTATCCTCTTGAGTAGCAAACGTATTAGGGCAGTTTGATCCCAGTTCTTGAGGGCCGTACACAGGCCAAGATGTCAGACAGGGATTACATTTTCCTTAGTAAATTGAGGTTTAGTGGTTAACATTTTTAATATTCATTAATGTATGTTGCTATTGCGAACATCTTCCAGAGAACTGTATTAAGTGAGGACATACAGTAGGATAATAATACTATTATAAAGAGCAGGAACAAATACAACCAGCATTTCTCAACCTTTTTCAGTCACGGCACCCATTAAAAGTATACAAAATCTTGAAGCACCCCAGTTTAAAATGTAAAAAAAAGTAAATTGAAAAGCGTAAAAAAAGTGTGGGCCTTCCCCCCAAAAATCCACACCAGACCCTTACCCTAGATAGTCTATTATGGATTTTAAGGGGGGATGTCATGCAAAAAGAAAAATGACATATGGGTCCCCACCTTCCTTTTAATGAGCCGTCCTTTACATCAGGAGCCCCTCTTTACAGCACAGTCCTCATTTTCCCTTCACATCAGAAGCCTCCCCTTAACACCTGATTCCTCACATTAGCCCTACCTTCCAATCTTTACCTCAACACAGCTGTGGCAGCATGGCAGGGGGTTGAAGCGGAGCAGGTGAATGCTTAGGAACCGTCCTGGATGCCACCCGCTATGGATTAGCATCATGCATTTCCATGGTCTGTAGGCTGGCCCACCTGCACCATGGAAATGCATGACGCTGTGTGAAAATTGGAAGGCACCCCTGACACCTTAGTTCGAAAAGGCAGTTTTAGACAGAGCAGAAAAGGGTAGACCATCAGTCAGTTTCTTACTGACATCTGTGCCACCACTGTGATTATTAGTTTCCTTCAAATCCTGTTCCTGTTACCATACAGGAAGTGAAACTCTGCAAGGTGGAGAAAGACAGCAATTGAAACCTTTAAGAACTTTAAAACGTTTATTTACGAGTTACTGCTCGTTTTTGCCTAGGTGCTAAAAGAAAATGTGGTTCTGGAATGACAGGTGTTGGCACATATGTGGTAAGATGTGAAAGGGATTCTTCAGCTAAAGAGAACAGCATAAGAAAAGTACTGAAGATGTATGAAGTAGTGACTTGGGAGAGAGGAAAGAGTTTTACTGACTGAATCAACTTATGCACTGGGCAACCACACAGTCCCGGGGACACACAAAAATTTGGGTCCTGCATTTTACATTGTAGGTCAGTCACAGCGGATACAGTATATAAATTAGAGGTAAAAAAAAGACCTGTCATGAAGCTGATGAACTCTGAGGATTCAGTAGCCTGATATTCCCCTATTTCGCAGATGCCCACGGCTGGCCATGAAATTAAACCTGTTTTGAGAAGTTGTGCTCTCAATCCTACCAATTAAGAAGTTCCCTCTCACTGACATCAATTTCTAATTGCAAACCTTGAATTGCTGGATGACAATTTCTTCTGGAGGTATGAGAGGGACCTTAACCCTACCTTTTCCCAGGCCCAGTCAGATTGTATATTACACTTTGCCCATCAAGTCTCTATCTCAAATAGATATCAAGAGCTTAATTACAAAATGGTGAGAAGATGGTATAGAACACTATTGGCAACTATTTCAAGCATCTGTCCAGGTATTGCAGACAAATGTTTCTCAATTTCATCTCCTACTGCTCTCCAAATCATGCTACAAAAGGTCCTTCACTGTACACCTCTTGAATCCAACTCGGGGCTCGTTCACACGATGTCCGGATTATGTCCGGACCAGAACAGTTCGCTCCTGCACTAAAAATGCATCCCAATGTATCCCTATGTGTTTTACGGGCTCCAGTTCTCACCAGCGCAGTCCGTTCCAGACAGAAAAAATACTGCATGTCACATTTTCTCGGGTCCGGAACGCGCACGAACGTGTCAAACACAACGAAAAACGCACCACACTGCAGTTAACAGCTGACAGCCCCACTCCACAAAAAAAGAACTGGAACGCGTCCAGAATGCGGTAAAACGCATAGCACCGCGTCTGCAGATCTGGATCAGAAAATGGTGTGAACAAGCCCTCAGGCCTGTGTTCCTGGATTATGGAAACAAACTTCCCCTCCCTTGCTCTCTCACCCCCGTTTACTAGCGTTAATGATATTATGTTAATGGAACAGCTAACCAACCACTCAATGACAAGTAAGAAACTTTCAGACAAACTTTGTTTTATTGGATTTAATACAAATGCTCCAGTGAATACATCTTGGTCTTGATTTCTGGTGTCTCTGAAGTTTGTCAAGCGATAATAGTCTAGGCGAATAGTCAGCTTTTTGGGAGGGTATAGTGGCCTCCTTTACCACTTTCTACCCGTGGATAGCTGTACAAGTTTGAGCACTCAAGCCTCCAGCAGATCCCAACTGTGGTCCCTTTTCCATACCCTCCCTTGCTTTCTTCACATGCAACATGGCCCAGAGTGTTTTTCCTTTTCCTGCTTCCTTCTGTTCTATCTAAGACTAAACGTGGCCCTTTTCGGTCGAAGAAATGTTTAGGAAATAATTAATTAGCCATACTAACCAATTTTTGATGAACGGCAGAAATATATATATATTTTTTTTTTGCGCATGTGCTGTGTTCTTGAAGAGATTTTTGACGAACGAAAACCCCACTGATTCATCGATTTTCATTCAGAATTTTTTTTTCCAACCTGAGCGAAACATTTCTCACAGTATCAAAAAAGAAAAATCAGTGATGTACCATCAACTGTTTGATCTTCCTTTGAAAGACGATTGTCTTCGTGTACGATTTCTGAACAAAAATCACGCAGTGTATGGGCACCATAATCCACCTCTCCCTGATTTACCCTTGCTCACATCGTTAAAAAAAAATAAAAAATATCGCACATGGGGTTGTACAAATAGATGATCATATTAACTTGCTCAAACAGAACTCTGAGCCACACGATGCCTGTGGCTGTTTGGTACTATAGCCAACTAGGTATCTGGAAGGCTTTGAATAACTGTCTTTGGAGGATTCCTTCATGTATTTGTTGACTGTCGCCTTCCAGACAATCACCTTTAGTATGTGGCTTGCATAGTTTGTGTCTCGAATACCTGATTATGCCTGACTTTTCTTATCATTCTGTGTTGATAATACTGTTGTTTTACAATGTACAAACCTGGACTTGTTAAGCTTTCCTGTGAGTAAACTCTCTGTCCTTTATTGCTAGGCCATACAAAAGTTGCAGAATACAGCTTCTGTCAGATGCTCCTTATGCAGATATGAAAGGAAATCTGTAACAAGAGAAATGGCTGCCATTGCCAACCTTCTGAAAATGGTTAGTAGTATCTGGCTTCAATACTTTCAGCCAGAGGCGCAGAACACGCATGCAACATATGAAGCCAGAATCTCAGAATTCAGTGACACAAAGCACTGAAACTGCAGCACCATCATGACAGTCAGACAACTATCTTCCATAGAATGAGATGTTGGTAATGGCAGCCTCTGTTTTCTCCATACAGGTTTCCTTCAAACCTTGTGATAAAATCCTCTTCAGACAAATTTACTTTAAAGCGTGTAAGATGACCCCATACACACATACACAGAATGTCCTAGATTATATAAATTGGTATGATCAGCAACTTTAGTTGAAATTCACACTTGAGTATAAATGTGTGTTTTATAAGCATTTTGTTTATGCACTTTTAATCTTTGAGCATTTTTCTTTTGGCCAATGGAAAGCAGAATCATCTGTGACATCATGTGTCTCCGTTCAGGTTTTCTGTGTGGTGTTGTGCTGTTCATTTCAGCTTCCTGAGTATATTTTCCTGCAACCCAACAACAGAATATCCACAAACACACAAGTATAGAGTACATAAAGTTAAAAAAATGTAAATTTAAAATATATTTTGTTTTTTTTAACAAAAAGTAAATAGCCAAAGTGGTCTCAGACATAGGGTACTTCAAAGTTCTGTAGTTCAGAGGTAACCTGTGCTGGTTTGAGAAGGCCATGTGATAACACTGCTAAATAAGTTACATGCTCACTAGATTTCTGGCAGGACCAAAAAGCATTTTTGGCACATATGAAACATGTATAACAAAATAGTTTTTATTGTATATTGAACAGACCAAATCTCACACCACCTCTATGTTCACAGTTAAAATTATTAAGCTTTCAAAGAAAAGAACACTGTACCTACTGTGAAACATGGAGGAGGCTTGGTTATGTTCTGCATCTAACATGGGGTTCCTTGAATCTATGCAGGGCACAATGCAACCTCAAGACGTTCAAGGAATTTTGAAGCGAAACGTACTGCCCAGTGCCAGAAGGCTCTGTCTGAGAGGCAGGTTATGGGTCCTTCAACAGGATAATGACCCAAAATACACAGCTCAAAGCACCTAAGAATGGCTAAGAACAACATAAATCACTTGTTTTGGTTTGTGGATCTCCCCCATGTTGACCTTCTGACAGCCCTAGACTGTAAAGAGGCAGGGCTTTGAAAAAGTGCAGGCTCCACTTTTGGTACGGGCGTAACTGAGGAAGAAGTGCTGGTTGTGATAAGGTCTCCAGATAAAAAGGCTCTTTGACAACGCTGTCCCTCTCTTCCTTTGCTGGTTCCCAATTGCTTTCCATGCTGTACATACAAAATATGCCTTTTAAACATTGTGTC